GGTGTGGGCATATTTACTAGCTTCATTGTGGTGGTGATGGTTCCGGGATGTATGCTGGTTTCAAAAAAGTATCAATTTTATATTTAAATATATACAGTTTATTGTATGCCACTTGTACATATTTAATATGGATGCTTAAAAAATTGGTCCTTTCTAAAAAATTTTAATTATCTCTAGGAATATCAATATTTCTAGAAATAAAAAAAATTATTATCTCTAGGATACAACATTAATATCCCTAAAAAATAGTAGCAAACAATAGAATGCTACATTTTATTTAAAAATTCATATACCACAAACAAGTAGGATTTATTCCAAGGATGCAAAGTTGGTTTAATATATACACTAGGTCAAGAGAAAGAAAAATAAAAACCGTGCTCATATCAACAGCTGCAGAGAATGCCCCACACTCACTCACAATAAAGCGCAAATGGGGATAGAGAACCTTGTTAAGCCATATCATGAACCCACAGCAGACACTTTACTCCACCTGAAAAACAGAAGATTTTTTCTGTAAGACCAAGCGCAGCACATGAGAAAACTCTGATTTCACGTTAAATGGATTTTTCTTCTTTTCTCCAGCCTCTGCTATAGAAACGGAAAAGAAGTTGTGTTTCAGAAAAGGCTGTTGGCTTGGGAGAGGGCTTGTGATTTTGCACTTCAGGAGAGGCCAGAAATGGAAGCTGCAGGGCACCTCCAGGCTTTCCTGAAAGGAAAGGGAAACAAACAAACACAAAGCTCCGAGCATGTTAGGAAACATGTTAGGACCCTCTTAGCTGGAGAACTGTCATGACAGGCTTCGGGGCCTCTGACTGACTTAGGCCTCTTTCAGGAACAAGAAAAGCAGAAAAACCAGATGCTTTTGTCAAAGATTACATCCCCAGAATGAGATTAGGTCTCCGGAATGTAACAGTCAGGGAGTGGGCTGGATGTTGCAGGCCAAAACAACAACAACAAAAAAATATGTGTACTCTGTAGTAATAGAAATTTGCTGAGTAATGCTTACTTGCCAAAGTGAAAGTATAAGAACTCGCTGAACCTAGTGCTGGTGGTCTTTGTTGAAACCTGCTGCGTAGGGTGGATACTTGGACTCCAGCTAGCTGGAACAATAAACCTCGCTATGTGATTTGCATTATACGCACTGTTCTTTGTCCTTGAGGGGTGGTCAACTCCGGACCCTGGACCCTAACAAGTACTGCTTGGCTTAACGCAGGAGTGCAGACAAATCGCGGCTCTCGTCCTGCCCCCTTGGCTCTGTCAGGGGTTCTGCTGGCCTTGGGGGGACAGATTGAAGACAGGTGTGAGAGCTCTCACACACAGCTGGAAGGAGTGCTGGGAATAGTAGGTTACAGAAAAGGAAATTCTCACAAGCCAAGATGCCCGGTTAGGCAAAACTTTGACACGAAAATGCAAATTTGGACAGAGAATGTGATCAGAAATTCAAAACCGACTTCAATTTTACATAAGACCTAAAAGAAAAAAATCCCACACATTGCTTTAGGTGTTTATACACAACAAGGATGATTGATGGGGCAGGGCGGGGGGGGGGGGGGAGTAAGGGGACGGGGGGGGGGGGGGGGGGGCATTGGTGGCTGTGTGGTGGAGGCCCCTCCCTGAAACCTAACTCCCTTCTAATTGCCAATTGTTAGATCTCCTTAGTGCTGCAGGTGCCAGTTAAACAAAGCACTTTTTCCCACTTTTTAAAATCACAGTGAGATACACAGTTACCCCCAACCCCACCCCCCTGCCTCTATGGCAGACATCTCCTCTCCCCCTCCTCTCTTTTTAGGCCTTTTTTCCCCCCCAGTAGTTTGCAATGCAGCTACTGAAATGTTATCTTGTATACCCCTTTGTCTACTTTCAACACTAAGTTCTTACCCAGAGTGACCATTTCCAACTATTACTGTTATACTGGGCTGGAGCTATAGCACAGCGGGTAGGTCGTTAGCCTTGCAAGCGGCTGATCCGGTCGACTGGAGTTCGATTCCCTCGCTCCTCTTCAGGAGGAGAGTCCGGCTACCAAGAGTATCTTGCCCGCACAGCAAAGCCTGGCAAGCTACCTGTGACGTATTCGATATGCCAAACACAGTAACAAGTCTCCTGATGTTACTGGGCCCGCTCAAGCAAATCGATGAACAATGGGAGGACAGTGACAGTGACTGTTAGACTGGTCCTGTCCCTTCTCTGTCCTAACTGCCCTTCACCTCCCAGTCACTCTTGTTGCAAGCTTCAACCACTGACCAGTTCTCCTGGCCTTGGATATTAGTTCCAAAAAAAATAAAATAAAATAAAAGCCTGCTATTTATTCAGTCATTGATTAAACTGATTGAATTGGGCATGAACTCCACATTATTTTTATTTATTAAAAAATTTTTTGAAACTTAATTTATTGAAAAAACATCAAATTCCCATTAGTCTACTATAAGGGTTCCACTCCTCTATACATTTCATAATAATTCTTAATAACTAATTTTAATAATGGCATCCCAGTGAATATAAAGAGATATCTCATGTGTTTTTTTGAATTGTGAGTTTTTTGATCAGTGATCGTAGACATAATTTTGACTCCACATTATTAAAAAACAATTTTTAAAAACTGGATATTCATGAGATATATTGACCATTACAAAGCTGTTCATAATTGGGTTTCATTTTATTTCATCATAAAATGATGCAGCACCCATACCTACACCAGGGCAAATTTCCTATCACTATCCCCCAACTCTCCACCCCCTACCCCCAGCCTCCCTCTATGGGCACTTTCCTTCTTGCTCTCTCTCTCCTTTTGCTTTTGTGCATTATGGTTTGCAGTACAGGTGCTAGGAGGTCATGGTTTTTTTTTTTTTAGGGCATTCAGTATTTTTATCGGGATGGTAAGGCTGGAGTAGCTTTTCAATTGTATGGCAGCTTTGGAGTGTGGATGTGACTACCAAGGCTTCCAGAAGTACAGGGAGGTGAGGAGAGGTAGACCATCCTGACCCCGAGAAAGCCTGGAGATTTCAGTCACAAAACACGCATGCCATAATTTTTAGCAGATTATTAGCAGATTATATCTTGGTGAGGTCTGTCCTGAGACAGGGGAGTCACGCTGGCGGTATGGCGGATTGTGGAAGCCAGGGACTCTGTTTGGGCGGGTCCCAGGTCAACCCACCACCCTCCAATTTACCCATGTCTGTTTAGCCATGCATGGGTTTGCGATTAACTGCAGCATTTGATCTCTTTTGAGATTTATTTATGGGTCTCTGAAGCAAGGCCTGTAGTAGAGTTTACGAGGTGGTTCTAGAGTCGGTTTGTGGGGGTGACTGACAGTGCTTCCATGTGTATTGGAAACTGGGGGGTGGTAGAGCATCCCAACTCTAAGAAAGCCTGGAGATTTCAGTCACAAAACCCACACGCCGGAATTTTCAGATTATATTTTAGTGAAGTCCATCCTGGGATGGTGAAGTCAGGCTGGAGGTATGGCGGCGATTTTGAACTGTGGAAGCAAGTGGCTAATTGGTGGCTATGCTTGGGCAGGCACCAGGCCAACCTACCCCCCTCTGATTTACCTGTCTGTTCAGCCAGGTGCGGGTCCGAGATTAACTGCAACTTTTGATCTTTTGATAGTTATCTATGGGCCTCTGAAATAAGGCCAATAAATAAGCTTGGATAGTTGAGCCAGAGGTGGTTTGTGGGTGTGACTCCCACACACCTAACTTTTGGCCATTTCTTGGTAAACTTGGTCCAAGTTGTTGGGTCCGGCCAAAGGCACAGCAGCAATTTTGGGGTGTCAGGAAGCCTGAAGGGCACCATCATGCTGCTGATGTACCTATCCTGTGGGTACAGGTTGTCCTATTGGTGGCACCATATCCCTAAGTATTTTTTTTAAGTTACGGATTTTAAGAGTCAGTTTTTTGAGTTCCTAAACAATCTCGTTGGTAAGAGGCAGGGGAGAAGCTCAGGTCTGGGAACAAGCACATGAGCGCGCTGCCCCTTTGGGTTAGATCCCAGGCACCGCTAGGGGTCACTCCTGAGCACAGGGCCAGGTGTGCCTGCCACGCCCCTTCCCTGCAACCGCCTAAGAAAATCCCACATCCCTCGGGCTCTCTAGGTCGGCTACCTACAGCCCTGCTGCTGTGCACCTGCCACCGGTGGCGCCGTGTAGTGGCTCCGGCGCCCGCCAGGGGTCACTGCGGTGCCGGCGCTATTGTGTCCGGTCAGGCCGTGGGAGCGAGCGGAGGCGGGTCCGAGCCCAGCAGCGGGGGACCGGCCGCGGCGCGCCGGACCCTCCGCTCCACGAAGGAGGGGACCCCCACCCCCCTACCCCAGCTCCCGCCCCCCCACCCCCGCCCGCGCCCCCGCACGCCCTGCCCCCAGCCCAGTTCCTGGGTCTCTCCCCTGCCGCGCCCCCAGTCCGTTCCCGGGGTCTCCTCCCTGCCGCGCCTCCAGCCCGGTTCCCAGGGTCTCCCGCCCTCGTCCCCAGTCTCGTTCCGGGGTCTCCCGGCCGCACCCCCAGCCCCGTTCCCGGGGTCTTCCCCCTGCCGCTCCTCCAACCCCGTTCCCGGGGTCTCCCGCCCGCGCACCCATCCCCGTTTCGGGGTCTCCGGGCCGCGCCCGGCGGGGGCAGAGCCTGAACTTGCGCCGACGCCGACCCGGTTCGCAGACGGGCGCCTCGCCCCGCCCAGGAGCCCGCCCCGCGTCTGTCGGACCGGCTGGGCCCCGCCGTGACCCTCGGGCTGCCCCGCAGTAGGGCCGGCGAGCGAGTGGCCCCGGCACAAAGGAGCGGCCCAGCTCTCGGCTGGGGACGCCGGACCGCGCGGGCGCACCGGGGGGGTGTGCGCCGCCCCGAGCTCGACTGTCCCGGGCTCTCGGCGCGGCGGGGCACTTCTGCGGACCTGGGCCCGGGGCGCGCCGCACCTCGCTGGGAGCCCGAGCGCGCGATGCGCGGGGCCGCTGACCGCCCCGCCCGCCGCTGACCGTCCCCGCCGGCCGCTGACCGCCCCGCTGGCCGCTGACCGCCCGGGCCCGCGCCGACATGGGCTGCTTCTGCGCCGCGCCGGAGGAGTTCTACTGCGAAGTTCTGCTCCTGGACGAGTCCAAGCTGACGCTCACCACGCAGCAGCAGGGCATCAAGGTAGGCGCGGGTCGGGGGCGGCGGGGCGGGGTCCCCGGTCGCCCGGACTTGCCCCAGGACGCGTCCTGAGCTCGGGGGAGGGCCTGCGTGTCCCTTGGGAGGACGGCGGTTTTGATGCTTGCGGACGCTGCCCCGCGCTCCCTGCAGACCCCAGACGCGCTCGCGGGAAGTGGGAGCGCACGCGCCGCTGCAGACTTGTTTCGGGTGGTCGTGATCGTGTGGCCAGGGTTGGTGTTGGGTGGAAACTACTTCCCTTTCCGCAGGGGGACACCCCCTTGGTCCCCACATTTACGCGAGGGCTCTCGGGCGACCGACAGTAACTCCGCGCCCGTCCGTGGTCATCCAGTTGCAGTGGCCGCGAGTAGCTTCGGGGAGCCACTGCAAGGCCCGGGGGGCCGGCACCTGCCGCAGGGGCGGGCGGGCGGGCGCTCGCTCTGTCCCGGGCAGCCGTGGACACGCCTGGCGCTGTCGGGCCCCAGAAATGATGGGGGAGGGAGGGGGTTGTTGCTCCTCCTTCAGTTCTAAATCACTGGGGCGTTTCGGGGTTTCGGGGGCCGCGAGGCGGGGTCCTGGAAACCAGCCCAGGGCCCGGGCGCTCCCGAATCCCACCCAGGCCCGAGCGCTCCTGAGTCCATCCTGGAAACCAGCCCAGGGCCCGGGCGCTCCCGAATCCCACCCACGCCCGAGCGCTCCCGAGTCCATTCCAGGCCCGGGCGCTCCCGGTGCGAGTTCGCTTGCTCAGCGCCCTCTGCCCTAGGACCCAGTGTTGCTGGCCAGGGACCTTAGCGTTGGCATGACCGCTCTGGACAAACAGAATTCTGACGTTACAGGTTTCATTCTTTATAAAGGAAAAAGAACAAAAAGTTAACATTGAAAACTCCAGAATGAAAGTTAACCCTTTCCTTTAGGAGATTGTTTTGAGCATTGTGTGCCCAGTAATTAGAGCAAACAAAAGTCAGCCAGGTTCCCCTGTGGCGTTCCCTTGAGATGTCAGGACTGAGTGTCTTTTAGGTGATTACTATTTGTAACATATTCCAACCCACGGCCCCACCCCCCTGAAAGCAGGGAAAGAACTTTCCAGGGTGATCTAGCATTCTTTGCTGTGTGGTGCAAATAAAATAGCCTAAAATCACAAAATAGAAAAATTTGATCTCTCTCTCTCTCTCTCTCTCTCTCTCTCTCTCTCTCTCTCTCTCTTTTCTTTCTGGGGGGGGGGTTAGACTGGTGGCACACCCTGTGGTGCTCCTGGCTCTGCACTTAGGAATTACTTCTGGTGGTGCTGGGGTACCATATGAAATGTGGAGACACACTTTACCACTGTACTATCACTCCGGCCTCACTATGTAGATTTCTCTTGGGCTTGGGGATAGAAGCAATTCGAAAGAGGTGAGTGATGGTCTGATGGCAGAACAGTGAAGAAGTCTGCCAGGGGTCGAGTGTAGCCGTTTCAGTGTGTGCTTTGTGCTTGCTGTGTGATGGTGGTGGCTGGTTCCACAGAAGTGCTTCATCTGCATCATTCCGTCCAGGGAGCATCCAGAAGGGGATCAGATGGGATAGTTGTCAAAAAAAACCATGAACTGAAAACCCTGATCCATAATTATGTTTCATGACCTGGTAGGGCTTATCTTGTTTTACAAATAGGTTGAAAATTGGTGAGTGATTCAAAAGCAAGAACAACTTGATAATGCTGTTCTTTTGGATAGATACCACTTACCTAAACAATAGTTTGAGCAGGCTTTTGTTGGAAGTAATCATTTTGCAACAGACTTGGCCTCTTTCAGTCTCACAAAAGCATGCCATAATTATTTTGATGGCCATATGTGTAACACAGACGTCTCCTGAAGTTAACCACATTATCGGTAACTACCATGCTAATGTAAAAATGCATGTGTTAAGCACCTAACCACTTGTGATGTGTACTGAATTAAACATATATGTACATTTATAAATGGAAAGTGTATGAACTACATCTTGCATGAAGTGATATATTATTAAATTTAAAAATGTATGTAGTTTTTTGGTTTTGGGTCACACCCGGCTGTGCTCAGGGCTTACTTATGGCTTTGTGCTAAAGGACCACTCCTGATACGGTTGGGGACCAGATGGAGTGCTGGGGATCAAACCAGGGTAGATTGCATGCAAGACAAGTGCCCTACCTGCTGTACTATAGCTCTGGCCCCAATATTATTGACTTTTAAAAAAGATCCCTTCTTTAGCATATAATTAAAACTAAGCAATTCTTTCTTTCAAATTAATAGGTAGATAGCACTGTAGCACTATCCTCCCATTTTTCATTGATTCGCTCGAGTGGGCACCAGCAACATCTACATTGTGAGATTTGTTGTTACTGCTTTTGTTACATATATCTAATATGCCACGGGGAGCTTGCCAGGATCTGCCATGTGGATGGGATACTCTTGGTAGCTTGCCGGACTCTCTGAGAGGGGCGGAGGAATCGAACCCGGGTCGACCACGTGCAAGGCAAATGCCCTACTTGCTGTGCTATGTATTATTATGGTGTTTCCCCTTGATTACACTTCATATATATTTTTTAAATGCAGGAGTACTGCTATTTATTCAGCCATTGATCAAGTGATTGAATTGGGCATGAACTCCACATTACTTTTTAAAATATTTTTTAAATTAAATATCTGTGAGATAGACCATTACAAAGCTGTTCATAATTGGGTATCAGTCATACAATGATCCAGCACCCGTCCCTCCACCAGAGTGCTTTTCTCACCACCAATGTCCCCTGTTTCCTTCTGCCATCCCCCAACACCCCACCCTTGACCCCCACTTTCCTTCTTACTCTTGCTCTCCTTTTTCTTTTGTGCATTATGGTTTTCAGTACAGGTGCTAAGAGGTCATGGTGTTTGTTCAGGGTATTAAATATTTTTATCTGGATGGTAATGTTGAAGTAGCTTTTCAATTGGGTGGCAGCTTTGGCGTGTGGATGTGACTGCCGAGGCTTCCGAAAATATAGGGAGGTGAGAGAGGTAGCCCATCTCAACCCCGAGAAAGTCTGGAGATTTCAGTCACAAAACCCGCATAATTTTTAGCAGAGTATATCTTGCTGAGGTCCGTCCTGAGAGTGGTGTCAGGCTGGGGGCATGGTAGCGATTTTAGATTGTTAAAGCAAGAAGCTGCTGCTGGCTCGGCTTGGGCAGGCACCAGGCCAACCTGCCCCCCTCCAATTTACCCCGGTCTGTTCAGCCATGTGCGGGCCTGAGATTAACTGTGGATTTTAATCTTTTTTGAGATTATTTATGGGTCTCTGAAATAAGGCCAATAAATGGACTTGTATAGCTGAGCTGATTTGTGGGCATGGCTCCCACATACTTAACTTTTGGTGGTTTAATTTCTTGGTAAACTTGGCCTGAAGTTGTTGGGGCCTGGCCAAAGGCACAGCAGCAATTTTGGGGTATCAGGAAGCCTGAAGGCACCATCCTGCTGCTGATGCACTCACCCCGCAGGTACAGGTTGACCTGCTGGTGGCACCATACCCCCCACTTCATATTTTTTATTACAGTAAAGTTTGTTTGCCATGCCTAAAATATGTAAGTCCTCTGAAATGATCAGAAAACTGGTTTATTTTTTAGGAGTATTCTTTTTTTCAGGAATGTTTATTGTCACATGGTGATTTACAAAGTTGCTCATAATAGAGTTATTTCAGGTACACAACAGTCCAACTCCAGCAGTATCCTCAGGGTCCCTCCCATACCCCATCCTGCCCCATTGGCAGGCATAAAACAAATTTATTTCATACTACTGGGTCCAATAAAATGTAAATAAATGGCAAATAGAATTATCAGAAATAAATCAATAAAAGTCGATTTGTGATGATGAATTACTGTATGTTTTAACCTTTCTTGATCTAGTATAGGACAACCTTATGCACCATTAGTGAGTGCCATACTCAGTACCACATGATGGGAAGTTTCTCCTGTCCTTTAAAGAAGTTCTTTTATACTTCTTGTGAAGCTGATTTCAAGGCTAAGAATTCCCTCAGCTGTTGCATGTCCATGAAACTCTGTCTAGTTCCTTCAACTCTGAATGACAATCTAGCTGGATGCAGTATTCATGATGAGGTGTTCATTTCGTTGGATTTTTGTACTATATCCTTCCATACTCTTCTAGCTTGTAGAGTCTCATTTGATAGATCTTCTGTACATCTTATGGACTTTCCTTTGTGAATAAGTTCCTTTTCAGTCTTGCTGCATTCAGTATTTTGTTTGTCTTTGAATTTTGTCAATTTTTGAGTATGATGGATCTTAGAGTTCTCCTAATTGAATCTATTCTCACTGGGACCCTTCAGGCCTCTTTGATCTCAGTGCCTGTAATTCTCAGCTCTGGAAAGTTCTTATCAGTGGTTTCTTTGACTATTGTTTCTATATGTTCAAAAAATAAATTGAGGTGCTCTTGCCACATGCGTTTAGTGGCCATGAGCTCCTTCCATACCCCAGCCTGCCGCCACTACCAACAAATGCATGAAGGAGGGAACAGGGCCGCCAGACTGGTTGGTGATCAGTTGCCATTTATTTCAATCTTGGACCGGCCGTTTATTCCATTCTCCCCATGCGTCTATTCCAATCTCACTGAGTGCCCCATTCCAGTCTCACACTGCCCCTCATTCCTGGCTCCTACTTCCCTTAGACTAGTCTCCTGTGTCCAGTCACTGCCTTAGTCAAGAGTCCACCCTCCAATGGTTAGGGGTGGCAACTATCCATAGATCAGATAGCACAGTCAATATATGTAAAGTCCTTCCTTCAGGGGAAGCTGTTCTAAGGCAAAGATCTCATCCAGCAAGCTGATCTGCATAAGGGCAAAATGCCATCTAGGGATGTGTTTCTCCTTTCCTTAGTCCAATAACCATTTAAACATTCATCTTAATTCTACTTCTTAATAATATTAGCCATTTTGTATGGACACAGTAAGCTTATAGAGTGACTCTCCTGGGGATATCTCACTATAATTTCCACACTACAGTCCTCAGGCTA